TTTACAATGTCAGAATGTTTGCTTGAGAGTGACAAGGAAACAGATAAGGCTTTGGCAGTTAACATGAGACCTAAAATGCTATCCAAAGTGTCCACTTAATTGGTTTCTCCAATTAGCACTAGAGTTTAGCTATTCTTTTACAGTCCGATGCTATATTGGTGTTAACGGCTTTGGCAGATCAGATAATTTGTTTTGCAGAAGGGAAACCAGGTACTGGTTTCTAAGTTTTCCGTCCGTTTCCATGCTATGTCCTAATTTAAATTGTCTGATACCAGCCCAGCATACAGATTAAGCAAAACAAATCAGTGTTGCATATATGTGTGTTCATGTTGTGTTGACAAACCTTTTTGTCCTCTATTAATATTGAGTCAAATTTTATCTTTCTTTCATTGCTGAGTGACTGGTCTTTTAAATAGTAGAAATTTTAATTCCCGGTGCACGGTGAACTGTTGGCTAAGGCTGGGACCCAACTTTATATTGTCCTTTTAATAGTTCTCTACGTTTCTTTTTATGATTCAGAATGACCTCCTTAATCTTGACAAATTGAGACCGGAAACTAGCTATAATTGTCTAATGACTGGTATCAGTATGAATCCATAGACTCAAATATTGTCCTAATTTTCTTTCACTGATACAGAATATCAAGTAACTCCTGGGATGTTTTGAGTGGTGATGAAGGGCTATTGTAGACGAGAGTCTAGACTGTTCTAAGGATCTGTTGCACATCCCCCCACCTCCCAAAAGTAATGGGAGAGATTTGTACATTTTAAATAGACACTTTGGGATTCCTTGGAGGATTTTCAGGATATTAGTAACATGAACCTGACTAGGATTTTTTTTTAAATAACTGGGAAAGAGGTTAGCTCTTATGTCTAGCCTCTTAGCTTTATAATGTGTGTACTAAAAACCAATCTCACATATAATCATTATCTATTATAACCCTTTTTCCATATCCCACACCTCGCTGAGTGCTACTTGACGTTCTAGAGCAGTGGTGCCCGTACTTTTCCTGTTGTTCTCTCCTCCTCCCCCCCCCCCCCCAGTAATGGAATCTGTCTGCACCCCTCCATTGTAGCACAGTTGGCTCAGCAGAGGCGCTTGGGCTGAAGGTGGAGCTGGGGGCTGAACTGGAGATGAGGGCAGAACTGGCCAGCAGTTGTACCAGGGGGTGGAGTGGAGCTGTAGCTGGGGGAGGAGCTGTGGCCTGGCCCAAAGTTGGGCTGGGGCTGACCTGGGCCCCGTTGCGTGCCCCCTGCCCGCCATGGAGGCTGACACGGGCCCCCTTGTCCCCTGTGGTAGCTGAACCAGACCCTGCTGCGTGCCCCTCAAACGTTCCTACACCCCCCACCCCCGCATGGTGGCATGCCGCATGGTTTAGTGACCACTGTTCTAGAGACATATTTGAATGGATTTATAACACTGAATATAGACTCTTTCCAACTTCATATTCTGAATTGGATTTTATGAGACGCAAGAGGAGTTCTAATTACTCTGAAGAAAACTAGCTTGCTTTTCCGAATGGGCTACATTTTTTTCTAAATTACAGTGGTATAAGTTTCAAGTAACTCCATTGAAATCAAGCTAACTATTTACACCAGTGTGATTGAGATCAGAATCTGGCCCTGAATGTGCTACTGAATGATTCATTAATTTGCCAGAAGCAAGTCTTTTTTTTTTTTTTTTTTTTAAGTTGCCTTGCCACATACCCTACAGGTAATGGGTTGCCCTTCCTACTAGAAGCACATATATTCGGTGTAGCTTTGATGCTACTGTCTATTGTGTAAATCTGCTGAAACTGAACTGGAAAGCAGGAGTTCCAATATTGTATTTCTTTTGAAGTGCTCTGCATCTAAAGAGTATCTGAAGAACTAAGCTTTCTGGAAAGTTCTCTGAAGCATCTGGGTTCTGCAGATGGAGAAAACTGAAGTGTATAAGAGAATCTCTGCATTGCACAAACTACATATATAAAACTGATAGAATCTGGAACATTTCAGATAGTTGGAGGAGATGGAATGTTGCTGATGTATCAAGATTCCCATCACATGATGCATTTGAGTGCTGCTTTTAAAAATGTTTTCCAAATTCTTTTGTTAAGCAGACTTACATGAGTTTGTCTGAAATTTCTTTTGCCCTATTACGGGAATATGAGCTCTTTTGACTTACATACCATACATAAATATTTCATTCACACTATGGAAAATTAAACAATAGGCTATAAATATGGTTGCAATCTCAATTAAAATATAAAAAATCTCTAACATATGTTCCTTAGTGCCTGCACCCCCCCACCTCCCAAAAAACAAACAAACAAACAAAAAAAACCCGGTGTGAATCCTTGCTATAAAAATGCTGGGTTTCAAGGTCTTCATTTCCTGATTATTTTTCATAAAAAATTATTACCTTTTCATGACTGATCTTAAACATATTTCCCTCCATGAACAATCCTTGTGCCTTGGGGTTGACTGTTTTGGATTAATAGCCACATAATTTGGTAGCATTATTTCAGTTTACAAATATTCTCATATAGTGACCATGGAAGTATTGTTCTTAAGGTTTATTGTGAAAGCACAGGATTTTTCTTTTAAATACATATTTTCAGAAATAGATGTGAGTGATGGTAGAGATTCAAGAAGAGGGAAAAAATGAATAGGGAAAAGCCCCAAGGAAACGGAAAGGCACAATTATATTTCTCATGGGGATGTGCACATTAATGTGTCTGGTGTCTCTTTGTGTAGAGTTACGTTAAAAAAAAAAAAAAGGCCAAAGAATCAGTCAAGTAAACTGGGTCAGCACCCGGGACAGATACTAGGAACACGAATATTGTGTCCAAGAAATTTTGAAAAAAAAGTTTTATAGCAGTTCAAGTAAAATGTAGTTGCTTGAGGTGCCTGTACAATTTGTAATGGAAACTATGGGCTTCCAATGGGAAGTGATGGGAAACAGTGGTTTAGAGGACAAGCATTAAAAATGGGGAATGCCAAATGTGTACTGTATATTAACCTTGGTTTAGATTTGTTTAAAAAAAGGGAATATTTTAAACAATGAAGGCCAGATTTTTCTGGGAAAAGTTTGCATGCCCCAAATGGGAATTTGGCACACATGAGAGAAAGAAAACACTGGACTCAATTTTCAGAACCCTCAAGGACTCGCCAAAATAGACTGCAATTTTAATAAGTGACTGAGCACTAGGAAATTTGTGCTCAGCCAACTTGCATCTGGGCACTAATGCAGGTGTTGTCCGCACAAAATAGCATTATTATTTTTATTTTTAAAGCACATGTATGCCAACAGTCATGCATATGGGTACATCCACACAGGGTTTGACCTATCACAACAACTAAGCATGCATAATTCTTGGAAAGAGACAGACTGCCTCATCCCAGTGGTGCCTATTGCTGCTGTTCATTGCTTGTAGGGTGCCATCAGAGCAAGTTGAGTGCATTAAACAAGTTCCAGCCCACAAGAGCTTGCAGTCTACAAGGATCCTGTGGCTAGAAATTGTATGTCACATTGCTGCTATTGTATGAACACATTGCATTTGACTTGCGAAGTCCTCTTTCATTTTCTAACAGATATGGGTGTGGTAAGCCGTATATGTCTGTCACCTCTCGCAAGTTGATGAGTTGTACTCAGTACTCTCATCTGTCCTTGTTCCTGTTCAGGATATTATTACTGTTTCCATTGGTGATATGTGGAACCCCCACTCCAAAGTCAATGAAGAAGGAAAAATAAATATTAATACTAAGCTTTCGAAAATGTATCGATACATTCTTGTCAACTTTTACAATATATGTTGGCTATTATACGATTGTCATGTATATGGGCTATATTTCAAATATGTAGTTCTCATGTGTCTAGCTGTGTATTTTGTCAGTCACACTGATGCATCTGTATAAAGCTGATTGATTTGTGTGATTTGTTTTCCTTTATTCTGTTTAATTATGTCTACACATTGTAGAAGGGCATTAAGAGGACCCCATCAACTTTAAAAACGCTTCTGTTTGAATATTTTTTACCTTCTGTTCTTAGAACTAATATCTAAGATTGTTATAATTGTAAGGGATTAGAGAAGAGATTTTTCTTCATTTGATTACATGATGTATAGTTGCTTTTCATTGGCTCCTTTTCATAGTCAGTTTCCTCTGTTTTTAAAGATCTTGCATGCAGCACCAAGAGATGGAATTTATTTATTTGGCAATACTAGGAAAATTATTGTAAAAATCAACAAGGGAGCTCAGACAGCAGATGTAGTATCTGGAACTACTTTTAAATAAATAAATAAATAAAATAAATTATATATATAAAAACAAAGCTAACTAGATTTCTCTAGTTGACTCTGGGCCTTCAACTTTTGCAATGGGGAATGGATGATTCAGGGAATGACAGTAAATGCAATTTGTCTCCTATAAATCATGAAAATATTGAGACATGTGAAACATCTTGATTACTTTGACTTTATATTGCGTCCCTTCCCTTCAGTGTGGTGGTTTTCTGTTTTTTAAACTGGACTTTTTTTCAAAGTACAGGCCTCATTTTTTCTTGCTTCCTATAAAGCACATCACTTATCTCGGCTGCTAAATAGTATAGATTGTTACTTGTTATGTTCTTCTTCTGTACGGGTCTTGGGTCAATCCTAATAACTGATTCAGGGTGGGCTGAACACTATTGCAGCAGGCCTTGTTTCCCAATTGAAAAGATCCCAATAAGGAGTACAGTCCTCCACAGTTCTATGCTAATCTGAAGCTAAGGGGAGCATATCTACTTGGGCATACTCCTGGAGTGTGCACTCAATTGAGAGCATGTTTCAAGTTAGGCATGTCTCTGTTTTGCAGACCAGACTACTTGGTGCGCTTGTTCCCTTTTTTGCCAATATGCAACCTGATGTTAAGTGGTGTTTGCTTGATAATCTAGTGCTACATATATTGGTGACAGCATTTTTTTGTGCTATTTACAATTAAACAAAAATTATAATTGGTTTGTCTCTCTCACTCTCTTGGTAGGCTTGGATGATTGCCTGCAGCAGTATGTCCCCAAATTTGAACGGGAGAAGATAAATGGTGAACAGCTGTTACAGATTTCCCATCAAGATCTTGAAGAGTTGGGTATCTCACGAATTGGACACCAGGAACTGGTTCTGGAGGCAGTGGATCTTCTTTGTGCACTGGTCAGTTATACAGTGAACATAGAGATGAGGCTTAAGAAACTTATTGTGTTGAAAATGAAATTGTAGAAAATTGTTTAATTCAGATCAGTGCCATCTCAGTAGTGTTTGCATCTTTTTGTCTCCTGTTAACATACTAAGTTATGGGTTGTATTTGAAGAATAAAGTTATTTGGGTGGCACGAAGGTAAAATCATGTGGTTCCTGTCACTGTACACATTACCGAGAAAATTACTGTCAAGTACAGTGCATTGGTCATAAAAAATGACATTGTGGAAATGGCAGATGTTAATAATTGTCGATACGAACTGAACTAGGCTAGCCACATCTCTTCTCCATAAACTAGCAAAACTATAGAACTCTGTACTCTTGTAGATAATTATAAAGAGGCCTTTAAAAATGATTTAAGGAATATTTTGATGATAGGAGTACAGAACAGGCGGACTAAAGTCATTGTATCTGAAATTTCAGCTGTTCCCTCCTTCCTGTTGTATAACTGTATTAATGGGTTTTAAATGTAGACCTGCTCTGGAATGAATGCATAAATTGCTGTCTGTATTGGTGGTACAGTATTAGATACAGTTTATTTAAAAGCCATGATTTGGCCACACTTTGAGTACGTGTTTGATGTAATGCTATGAGCTAAAGCCAGAAATATATACAATTACATCACTGAGAATGGTGGGAAAGAATGCTCAGCAATTCTTTTGCCATTACTGGCCTACATTCCATTCATTATGTAATGTTGGTTGCACTGAGAGTATTCTTCTTAAATGGACAGAGCTTTTACTTCGTATGAAATGTGCTATTCTTGTTTCAGAAAGGTGGTACAGAGATCGTTTGTACTTGATTAAAACAAGGACAAATGGGATATCCTATAACAAAGCAACTGTGTTTCATCAAAAGAATTTATAAATGTTTTGTTCAAATACTTCAGCCAAAATATTTGTACAACAGCAAAGGTTTTTTTCCTAAATATTTTGTTTATCAATATTTTTTTAACGTTAAGTGAAGATTAATGGGAGAACTGAAACATCATTCATGCTGTGGGGGTGGAGTATAGTGTGTCAGGCAGGGGGAGAGAATCTAATGAAGTAGTAAATGTACTGTATACTGGCCTGAGTGAAATAATGGATGTGGCAGCCACCCTAAGGCATTTTTCCCCTTACTATTATAATATTAGAATAAAACAAAGCTGGATGACTGCCAGAACCTAAAGCTGTGTTTTATCTCCTACAATTTCCTCCTAATTTCCTTTGTAGACAAAAGTTTTGACCTCAGACCCATTTCTGGAAATACTTTGTGTAGTACAGCTCAAGTTAATGCATTAGACAGAGTTCATATGCTGTAACTGAAATGTCCTTGTTCTTTTTTTGGGTGGAGGGAGTTTTGGGGGGAGGTGTTCCTGTGTTTTAGCTGTGTCCTTTGTCATCTTCTTAATTTCTTTTTTGAGTTTTAGGAAAGGCGTTGTTGTATCAAATCAGCCTTAATTTTGTGCTCCAGTGTTTCTGCTTCAAGTTTAGATGTCAGTCAGCTTTTCATGACTTTGCTAGCTTTCATGACTTTGCTCACTTTTCATGTGAGGGAGAATGTCGTCTCCTCCTCCTTCCCCCTACCATCCTCAGGTCCTTCAGATACAGTTTTATGCATTAATGCATTCTGGTATTTTGTGCTGAAGTGACTGTTTTTCACTAAAATTTTAACCCCTGAATTAAAAAGCCAAAAAATAAACCATAATTTACTATTAGAAGCATACTTTTATGAAGACTTCTTCCTCTACCTCCCATGATCTACTCCTACGTGACCTGGCACATACTAAATGACTTCTCTGAGCTTATACCCCACAATGTGGCCTTGTCAGGATCTTGATGCTTTTTTGCCTTTATGAAAGATTGCCCTTTCCCCTAGTCCTGTCTAGCATGGTTCTTTTCTGGACCTCTTTCAAGAGTGTCCTCTGGTCCCACTGCATACCACAAGAACTCCTGTGAACCCAAAGAAAGAAATGTAGAGTTGCCTTTGGAGCATCTTTCTACTTAAATGGTCGCCAGATTGTCAACCTCTGAGATTTTTCTAGGGCCATCCAGACACTGAATAAAGGAGAGTCTGTAGCTAAGATGTCATTATGGAAAGGACATCAAAGAAAATCTAAAGGAGGACCACATTGAAGGATGAGAGCTAATGATATTAAAAGTACACTGTCAACTTGAAAATAACTTCCATCTGTAAATGTTGTCTGTTGCTGTAGTAAACCACCCCTAAGATAGTATAAGTGAAGATTAAAGTAGGTCTGTTTTTTCCTGTTTATTTACGTTGTGCATTTGACAGTTCATTGTGTGAAATCTGTTTCATGCTTTGATTGTATATCCTCCCCCTAGTCTTTTCAGAAGGGTGTTTACCAGTAACACCTGCAACAGTACTGTAACTCAGGAGACAAGACAGCAGGCAAGTGTGTGCTCTGAGGAAAGGGCAAAGGGTTCCCCTCTGAGCATGTACGTTTACTGCTCTTAAGCCTGCCTAAAATACCCTTCTCAACAGGTAGATGGGGCAGAAGAAACTTTTTTTTTTTTTTTTAAAAGCTTGGATTAAAAGGGTGCTCTGTCAGAAAATGAACTTTTAAAAAAATCAAATTGAGTATCTCTGGCTTTCCAGACATTAAAGGGGGAGAAAACAGGGTTGTACTTGCTGGGGAGCAGACACTTCAGTTGACTGAAGTTTTAAAGGGACATACATTTGCTTTTTAAACTCCAGTTAAACCACAGAAACAGTGGCACAAATTTAAAAAATAAGATGTCACCGTGAAGGAGAATTGTGCAAAAATCACCTGGAAGGGTGGTAAAATTGTGGAACATCTTGCCGAGAATATGACTAGACTTTGGCATAGGTTCAGTGAATGAAGAACAATGCAGGCATTAATGGGAAATAGCTTCATCTTTAGTTTGCTCTCGGGATTAGGGTCCTGAATTCTCATGTATCTTATAATACTCCTATATTATCTATCTATATCTATATCTATATATCTAGTCTAGTGCAGACTAGAACTTCAACCATCGTAGAAAGATGCAGCTGTTTTTTTCCCTCTACCTTAGGGTTGAGGGATCTTGGTGTGATGGATCTGCCTTTGTTAGTTTTGCCTGATAGGGCAAACTCCTCCCTCATGCTGTAGCAATGCTTGGGATGTTGTATCAGTCTGGTGCAGTACAATGTAATGATATTTGGTGTGTCGTCGTATTCAGCATCATGTGAAAAATTGATCAGATCACGCATGGTACAAGACCATCAGATCAAGTTGTATCACGATGGCATTTTTAAAGGATTCCGATGCAAAGTGACATCATATAAGCAGTTCTTGCAGAATTGACCTGAAAAATTAAAGATGAACCAAAAATACCAGGATGGATAACTACCTTTGTTTTAGGTTAAGCTGCTGTGCTTGTGCTGTAACCGTCCATGTATATAAATTTATAACTTGAGTTCGTGGAGGTTTCAAGCCAGCAACTTACCCCCATCACTACATTCACTTTAACGTTTCGAGGCTGGAGGAAATTGGAATCAATGTATATTCAGACTTGACTCTTTCTTGGATCTTTTGCCCCTCCCCCCAACACTCTATTAAGAAGTCTCCAGTTGAAAATATTTTTTTAAATGTCAGTTACTTCTATTTCAGTTACCTTAACTTAAGTTGTTGTCAGATCAGTGTATTGTTTAGTAGACTGTTGTCTCTCTAAATTATAACATGGTTTGGTGGGGGGAGTAGACACACTTTGAGGTGTGTTCTTTAAGCTGTACTCTTGCATATCTCTTCCCAAACTAATGAAGAACCAGATAGGAATGTCTGACATAATGTGCTCCCGAGGGCCCACTTCTTTGTGTGTTTTGATGAAAAATGAAGTTTGTTGATGTATTGAACTAGGAAACAGTTTGCATATACATAAGCAACAAAACTGTTTTTTCTTGAAATAATAAACAGTTAAAACATTAATGTCAGATTTTATTAAACTTCTTTTTAAAGCAAAAAGCTAATTTTTTTGGGGGGGGGCTTCAGCTACCTACCAAACATCAGCAACTGATACTGTGTATAAATAGGGAGGGGGAGGCATGGTTGGAGCATGGGACTGCGAGCCAGCAATTCCTGGATTCTAATCCTGACTCTAACTCCTTTGGTGGCCTCTGGTGAGTCACTTAATTTGTTCTTAAAGATGGAGAAACTAAAATGAAGTAGATTATATTTAGCCAGTTCCTGGCGGTGTTGAAGATTGACTGATATTTGTAAAACATTTTGAAGATTAAAAACGTTAATTCACATGAAAAAAGGTCTGATTAAATAAAAGAATTCCTTGAAGGAAGATCGAGCATCAAAATAACGTAGGTGTTCAGATCCCATGATATTAGGTGCAGAATGGGAACCCAAATAGAATGGAACAGAATTAAATCCAATCTGGAAACACTCATTTTCCCATAAAACCTGTATATGAGTGATTTTTCTTTCAAGCAGTTTCAAGAAGTTGCAGGTTCTTCTTTGAGTCGTGTCTCGATGGGTGCTTGGCAGCGTTCTGGAGTGAATAATGTGGGACAGATGGGTCCTAGAGATTATCAGCTCCAGATACACCATCTAGTTCCCCTGTCTATTCCCCCACAACACCCTTCCCCATCCCTTTTAAGGGACCCTTTTCATGAGAGTCGATTATGTCAGGAGGTAGATCAACTCCTACAGTTAGGAGCTATAGAACAAGTATCTCAATATCTATGAGGCAAGGAGTTCTGCCCTCATTAATTCCCAATACACAAAAGGAAGGGAGGTTGGAGACCTGTCCTGGATGTCAGAGCTCTCAACAAGTTAGTTGAGGCCCAAAAGTTCAAGATGGTCAGTTTATCAATGATCAGTCTCCCTGTTCCAATGATGGACTGGTTTTCAGCCTACAGGACGCCTACTTTCATATTTCAATATTACTGGCTTACAGACGATTTCTCAGATTTACTCTGGGACATGACCATTATCCATACAGA